AAAATCTCTGGTATAGTAGGCGTTACTATAGTATTGCTATAGTATTGCTATAGTATTGCAGTAGTACGCGTATGTATGCGTATGTATACACGCAAAAGCTCTGATAGATACGCTTTCGTATACACACGTGCACACACAAGGGCTCAGCCTACCATAAGGCTATCAATTGCACATGAACGTGCCCATATGATCACAAGCGCAGGCCAAGGCAATCTGCCAGCGGCTAACATTTCATGAGACGGCTATCTGTGGCAAAACAGTACTCTCGCATACCATATCTCCTCCGTCTGGTTGCTACGGCGACTGCAGGGATTTGTATACGAGGCCATGTGCACTATCTAATACGCCGCAAACCGACGACCCATGAGATGACCACACACACTCGGACGGTCATTGTATAAGATTGCTCATCTCGGACGGTTAGGGTTACGCCTGGGGTTTGTCATCGGAAAGGCTGGGGCGAGAGTTGTATGAGAGAATACCAAGTAGACCTGTGGGTCTATCACTAGCCACACACGCTCGAGCAAGTAGATGGATCACGCTGATCACTGTTGTCGATGCAGTGATGCTAGGCTCTGTAGGTTCTGAACGCTTATATCGTTTCATCGCCTGCGGGTTCTCCAAGTAACGATCGTGATGAACAGGAAAGTGTTTGCGATAAGCAATTGTATCAATGGGTACATTCGCAGTATCCTGATAATTCTCCTGTTACTCTTCTGGTGATCGTGGGCGGGGGACGACAGACGCCGTCACGAGCACATATATATTCACTACAGCAGCTACAAAGACTAGACACGCTGGCACAACCTACGCATATGAAATGGCTGCAATGTACTCACACTTACACACCAGTGCATAAGGATTGTCTTAGGTATCGCACGGGGCCACCAAATTCCCTGGTTTTAGGATGTCTCCTGTAATACGTGTTTGTTGCCAAATGTTTCGTATGTAAGGTTGGAGTGTATGTCGCATACCTGTTGCAGTCCCTGGCACGGGCGTCTGATGCTCACCTAATGGGCGTTAAGCCCACTCTTGCCGACTATCGATGCACAAAAGCCTGATGTAACCAGGTAGGGCCACAGAGCCACAACACATGTCTACTGAAGTGAGTACGTAGACAGTCAACAAACGAGCGTGTGTAGTAGTAGGGTGATACACTATTTTCACTAAGTCACATGGTGAGAAACACGGCGGTAGGCACGCGTAGATGCTTCAATGGGGTGAAGGTGCTGATGTTGATACTGATGTGGATAAAGATTCGAACATGATCACTGGGCTACGCCACACTGTAAAACAAAACGGTGACAGGAACACGGCCCATAATATGCGAAGATGTATTAGACGTTGTGCATATGCGATCCATCATAAAGCAGCGCTTGAGTGCAATTAGTGTTCACTTTTGGGTGTGTGAAGGCATGATACCTGAGTGTCGCAGACTGTACAGACTATGCTCAACGTCTATTGGATCAGCATCCTCTCGATTGGGCTAAGTGTTGATTACAATATATCTTTGGAAAGTATTGTGAACTCGGCCTATCGGTAGTATATAACTCCATTCGGTTCAAGAGCACTTCGCCTCATACTCAGATTTCCTAATTTCTAATTTTATATGCGTTATTTCCAATATATCCGTAGTAAGTATTGTGAATACGAATTAAACAGCTAATGAACAATGTCATTTGGTTCGAGAACACAAATGGATGTGCTGATTTCTGATCTTTAAAATATGTGAATTCCGATGTAGCCTTTCTACGCAGACCAGTAATGAGTAATGCCATCATGCTCAAGGACATTTAATATCGAATGTTCTGTTGTTATATCAGCACCTTCAGCACCCCTCCAGTCTATAATTCATGCACGTTTGTAGCCATTATACATCATGACCGAGATATTTACATGCCTTCGCTACTTGAATATGCACATATCTATTATGCAGAGAGAAAAATATGTCCGCTATAACGTTACACATGCCTACGTAATAAAGATATACATGCCTATTATGTAAAAATATACATGCCTTTGTTATATGATGTATATGCCTAAAATATGTAAAAAATATAATGTTTTCGAAATAAAGATGTACATGCCTATTAGGTAAAAATATACGTGCCTTTGTTATACGATATATATGCCTATAATATAAAAATTATACATGCCTTCGTTATATGAAGATGTACATGCCTATAATATATATAAATATGCATACCTTCGTTTTATGATGATAAGTAATAATATACATGCCTTCGCTATATGAAGATATACACGCCTATAATATGTGAGAAATATACATGCCTTCATGATATAAAGATGTATATGCCTATTATGTAGAATTATGCATCCTTCGTTAAACGCCTTCGTTATATAGAGATAGACATGCCAATTATGTAAAATAGACATTCATTTACCTTTATGTACGGGTATGCCTTCGTTATAGACGCTGTGTATGTCTACTGTGTTAAGATATACATACGTTCTTTATATAAACATTTTCATGCCTTTTGTGTAATAATATACATGCCTTCGTCATGTGAAGATGTACATGCCTAATATTTTAAGAAATACCTCCTTCCTTATATGAAGATGTACTTGCTTCTTATGAAAGATATACATGCTTTTGTTATATGAATATGTACATGCCATTTTTTATAGATAAGCATATTATGTAAATATGTACATGCGTTTGTTATATGAAGGTTCGTCAAAATTAGTTGAACGATCACCTTGCTTTGCTCTTTCTACGTCTTTAGCTGCGTCACGGTAGATGTCGCCTTCTCAATTCATTATATTTGAAAGATTGTGGCTTGAAACTCTGCTGGCTGACTGGAACCGAAAATCCTTGCCGAAGTTCGTTGTAAGCATGATATGACTGAATCCTTCAAAGTTATAGACGCACTTGCCAGACTACTCGTATCGATAGGCTCCTGGATGTCCATTCGTTCTGATATGTATGAGATCTGTAACTCATGTTCTTAATAACTTCTTGTTTTCTACAGTCTTATCAGTCTTCTCCTTTTCGATCTAGATTACTCGCAGTTCACAATCTATCAGTCAGGTTAAATGTCTAGCTACTGATAGATATAGATTAGCCTCATCATATTTACCTGCATCTAACGATGTAGTAGCATTCGATTTTGTATGCTCTATACAAGCTGTAAAGTTTGCAACCCTTTTTTCCAGTCGGAAGAGTAGAATGTCGAAGTGCTGATTGTTGCGGGACATGCCATCACTTTTCATCCACCTCTCCAGAACCCGACGATATCACCATAGATGATACCTTAGGCTGCAGCTGCGGAGTTTATGCCTGCAGAGGAGCAGGTGGCGGTGGTGATATGGAGTTAGTTCCTGCCTCGGAAAGTCTGGGTTGACCTTAGTCACCGGTTCTTCCCTAGAAATCTCTCTTTCAGTGCCATCAGATAGAATGACTCCGGTGCTGCCGATTGGGGGCCCGGAGACTCAGAACAAGTCGCCTGAGGCAGATACGTGCCTTCTCGACCAGTCGCCATCTTATAAGCCACAATCCCATTGTGCAGTACCATTGGATCAGATATCACCGTTGGAAAGTCGGCAGGGTAATTATCGACTGCGTACCAAGCTAGACTCTGATAACGGTGATCTTCTTTTGTCGACAAGATTGTAAATAGTTGTCGTATCTGAGGCTGGCGGAAAATTTTCCTGTCTTTCGCTTTTCAACTCCTTGTAGAGAACATTGCATCCTGGATTATTCAAAGTCCGAAATACGTTACAGCCGAGTGCATAATGCACATTGGCGACAACGTTCCACTCGGCATGGTCTTCGGCACGTCCGAAAAGGGAAAGTAGTCCGCTTTTCGAATACTTGCTTCCCTTGCCGCCTTGTGGTAAATCGAGATCCTCTCCTTCTCGTCAACCATCCTGATATCATCAAATACGAGCGCTGATCTTTCCACCGCCAGACATCGCGGTGCTCGAAGCGCCGGAATGTAATAGTTGTAAATCGATATGTCAAGCATCGCTATATCGTCGGCAGAAATCATCGGCTTCATCTGCAGTTTCTTTTTCTTTATCAGATTACTCGTACCCAGCATCCTTCGTCCCTTTCTCGCGTTCAAACTCCTGATACTGTCACTTCAATTTCCGAAATTCATTGTAGAATCTTACTGATGAATGATCCTTTCACCTCTGCCTCATGATCGTCAACATCCTCAGCAGTCGCAGTCCTTTCTTCTTTCGGTTTGCGCTCTCGCAATTGGTGACCAAGTGGCCACAAAGTTCCGGCCTTCTCCCGTTCATCCCTGATCTGACGATGATACCAAATTCTCCAACGGGTATTGAGCACTCTCTGAGTCGCTCGCTAACGCCTTCAAAGATCGACGGCATTCTTTTACATTCTTCAAGGTAGTCCGCTCTTGTCTCTGGCGAAATTTTGTGGATTTTTGCTTATACATTCTTCACGCTTGCCTCAGGTGTCGCAGACACAATCTCGCTGACCTCTTTGTACTGCTGACGTCGACATCTTAATCGATCGTCTAGTATTTGAATCCGGCATCTTAATGGATGCTAAAGTTAGATAGCTTTAAATAAAAAAAGGTCTTGACGAGACGATGTCAGCCATATGTCCCAACTTTTCAAACTTCATACGAGAAGCATCTCTATTAAGCAATTTACTGCTATAAACGAGTGTAGTAGTACCATAGAGATGCGATTAAGACTTTGTAGGCATCAATACATGCGTATTAGGGTAGCTAGATAGCTTGAGATGTTAGTAGAATAGTCGATATCATCGGTGAACATTTTGAATTGGCACATGTAGCTATAACGTGCCGTGAATTTGCATGGTTCAGATTTGCGATACAACACTGTTAAGCTTACGAAGTAATTTACATCGAATAGTTGACTGACAATGCTTTGTTTCTTGTCGAATAAAAACCTTAATACCACTTGCCTTTGCATGGCGCAATGCATTTTTGAACACTCCTTGGAACGCCGCGTGTATGTGCAGTGCATTTGAATTACCGCCTGCTCGTTTTAGTTCGCTTTCTTACTGGTCCGTCCGTTGTACGTTCTTCTTCTAGGTGTATGGACAAGTTCGTATCCACTGTGACTGTAGACTGGTGCTCGCTCCTAGCATACTCTTGTTGGCATTTCGTGCGAAAAAGCTGTTGGTCGTGGGCTCGACAATCGTGTTGATCACTGGAATAACAATCACATCGACCACATCTAACTCGTTCTTGTTGAGCGCTTGAAAGTGAGTCACTTCGATAGTCTTCATAATATACCCTTGATGACCATTTGAATGGTACTTAAATTGTAGGGTTGGTATATGGGTGAGTGTTTTGTGAGTTGAATGTGTGTCGGATTCCGATAGTGAGCGACACTCAGGTAGGCTTTATGAGTTGTAATTTTGCTACGTGTATGCAGTATTGTTCCATCGTATTAATAGATTAAATACATCGCTAAAATGCTGTGTGACTGGCTTTCTGTTATATATAGATTGCTCCAAGTGATAATAGGCGCTAAGGTTACGCACTGGTTGAGGTGCGACGAAGTTCTGTGGCTGCCATGAAATAGAGTAATTCGGTATAAGAAAGGTTCTGAGGATAGTAATATTCTACATACTCTATGTTGCGGCTCTATATTGATTGGGTTACATACTCTATGTTGGATAGCTCGTGGTGGCGTTCCTGAGGATCTTTGCCTGCTGGTATTCGCGAAGGTGTCTGGGGATTCGCGGCAGTTGAAGACTGCCCGGCTACAATTGTATTCGTTCGTCATACTGTGTGCGATCTTCTCTAAAAGTTGCGGCAGACACCACACTGTTTACAGTAGGGGTCTTACCGGGTTTTCGGATCAAGGGCGTCGTTCACTTTGCTGTATTCCTTCATATCATAGTCGAGAGTGGCTGAATATCGAGCAGCCCAATCGCTACTAACGTCTCGTGGACCCCGCAGGCCAGTTTTCCGGACACTTTGTCCGCATTAGTTACTCCTCGCAGATACCGTTCTTCACACTTTGCTGCCACATTCGTAGTGAGACGTACTTTTTCTCGATGTCGCATCTTACAATAGCGTGGCTTGAGTGCACTGTGAAATTTCTCATGCATCTCAATTCGTACAAAATAAATGTTGACTGGCTCGCCTTGATCCCAGTCGATAGTATCTACTCTGATTGTGCGTTTGCCTCGTTGGTGTCTTGCTATTGTTCACCATGGGTTAGTCTATTAGATTCTACTACGCTTGTGCCGTTAGCATAGCTTAGGACCGCTTCGACTAGTATTTTTTTGTTGTGCCGATCTCGTTTCATCAGTAAATTTCCTCTGACGAGCATACTGTATTGTCTGGCATGGAGAACTTAGCTTGTATAGATGAAATCTCGAATTGTGCATATACAATAACCAGTATCCTCGAAAATGTCATCGTGAATTTCTTGTGTACCGTGTTATTAGAACATCTTCACCTGGTTGGCTTCTTGCGTTCGCGTTGTTTCTTATGGGCTTTGTAGAGGTCATCGTCCCACAACATCAGAGCTTTAATATATCCCAGGGTGTCGTGATGTTTTTCATTGATTGAACTCAGTTTGTAATATAGCGAGCTACGTAGAAAAGGTGTGCATCAAGAACCGGCTCTTCCTGCTGGGCCTCCATTTAAATCCATCGACTTATCCGTAAATTTGTTTCCATATTCATTAGCTTACTATCGATACGTGTACAAGTAATTTGTCTTTGTGGGAAATCGCTTTTTGAAGTGTATTACAAGCCCCTCCAGTGCTTTCCGTACGCTATAATAATAGATATTGTGATCTGCCATCCCAATATCTAAGAATTTATTCGTATCGTTCCGTCCCGTACCGTCTCTGTAATATAGCTGCGCCCGAAAGGCTGTGACCCTTTTTGCCCAAATATTTCACGTCGTCTTGAAACCATTGTGACAAGATCTTTTGTTTATGATCTACAACTATATGTAGTGTATCTGTGTTCTAGTTTTCTATGTGATGGTCTTGCCAAGCTCCTCGGGTTTGAAACCTGAAGATCTCCTTATTGATCACGTCTAAAACCGTTAACACCGATGCAAAATCCGTGAAGCTCATATGTTTGCCGTCTTCATCCTCAGTCTCGCCTGATACTTGATCGTCGATGGTATATCTCAATAATATCCAATAAATTATCAAGCCTCATTGTGTCATGCAGGCCAGGCATATCGGTATTGATGGGCCCCATCTGCAAGGAAGCAATATGTGCACTCTTTCGATCGATCATTATCCTCTCCGCTTTAGATTTCAGTGTTTTCCGCACGTAAGCTTCTACTATAGTTACTATTAATGATACCATATCCACACACTCTCAACACTTGGAATCGTGTGCATTCTCGCATCTTGTCCCGCCCATTGCTCGCTCTGCACAATAAAAGTCATCTCCATCGCATTTCGTACTATCATTGATACAGTCTATCTTGTGCTCCCGTTAGATCAAAGACTGCAAGTGTTAACTTCTTTCTCAGACATTCCATACTCTTCAGAGAATGTAATTTGAAAGTCGGAATTGTGCAAGAATGCAGGTGAAATGGTATGAAAGGCCTACTTGCCGTGTAGTCAGCTTTGTTATTATGTATAGATAGCTGAAAATGATATTCTTATGTACAATTTGTTTGTACTTTCCGTTTACTTGCAGGGTTGTTGAATCAAATTGCGATGTAGCAGTAAGATTTGGAACCGAGACGGAAGTCTCAAAGTCGAGAGCACATAGTTGCCAGGTGTGCTCGTGGGGTATCCTTCCGTCAGATTGAATCCTTACTGTGATATTGCAGCAGGAATGGAATATTCTTCGCTCGTGCTGATAGTACTATAAATTTCTCAGTTGACCCGCGATGAAGCTAGCGGTAATCACGAAGTAGTATGAACCCGTTCCAACACATAAAAAGTCAGCATGGATTAAAATCGATGTTCAGTGTACTTGCTTTGGCTGAGTGGTGGCTGGCAAATTTTGGCTCTGGTGCTTCGACTTCGACATCATCACCAAGTCTAGCGGCAGCAAAGCGAACAGTAACTGATCTCTCACCATCGTAGTACTGACAGGTTTACTATGCTCCTCGTTGTGGATTGCGTTGAACATATTAAAGACCCTTCATGATTCTCGTTATTATATTCATTATTTACCTGAATGAAGTGGTGCGTTTGCCAATTATTCAGAATTTTCTGCTGTCGTGCCAGCAGTGCCTTTTTGTCTATGTTCATGACTAGAGTGTATTTATAGAAATCATTGGCTCGATTATCCTTCGGAGAGACTATCGTCGTTATTATACATGTTTGACAAATCTCTAACATGACTAACAAGTAGGTTGCGATTGGTAGAGTTACCTGTCAACTTAAATGCATATGACTGTACAATTATGGGGGCTAGCTTTCGTACCCAACACATTGTTTATACGTCTTTCAAGGCTATTTTTCCCTCTCCTTTCGCTATCACTTCTGATGCCGCTTCGTTTACTTCTGTGTAAAATCATATTCTTTTACTTCTGTGTAATTATATCCCACAATCTCTCTCGTGCGTGTGGATTGTCTAATCGCGATTGTGTAAGTAGTCGGCCGGTGTCTGCTCATTTCATTACGTTTCTGTCCCTTTTGGTTGGTACTCATACAGCAACAAGCATTCCCTTTGCAGGGTCGTTACCCTCACAACGTGATATACAACCCAAACATTGTTCACAGGCTGCACACCTGCCTCGTTTGTACTTGTGCGTCTCAACTCGACCCGGCCAGTATACAGTTTTTGGGTTGTTTTATATTCTGAGTGGTTCAAAAGTACTGCGTATGAGTGCGTAGTCTAAAAGCTGGTTGTAAGATTATTAAGCAGCATACCGTTCTGAGGATACGTCACTGTGAACTACTGGCTCCCGATTCGTAGCATAAACCCGTATACTCTATTCCGTCTCGGTATTCAGATAGACACATTTCGGGACGGCGTTCGTTTACTGCTGGCACTGTGGTTCATGGGGACCAGATATGCGGTATCAGTAAAGCGGGTGTAGTACATAGGTAACACGGACACTTTGTTTAACCATAGAAGAAACTGGTCGAATGAGATCCGCGCCACACAGATATATGTGCGTACATGCATGCATGTCTGCGGAAGAATACAGCCCCACATGAATCCATTTTAACATGCAGGTAGGTAAACATTTTAACATGCGTGTAAGTAAACATTTTAACATGAGTGCAAGAAAACATTTTAACATGCGCGTAGGTTAACATTTTAACATGAGTGTAAGTTAACATTTTAACATGAGTGTAAATTAACATTTTAACATGAGTGTAAGTAAACATTTTAACATGAGTGTAAGTAAAGCACGTACTCGCACCAACTTATTCCAGCGGGTACATAGGTTTCATGATGCACACACTTCTTGAGTACGTGCGTATAAGGCTTGTGCAGATATTATATAAATATTGTGATAGTACTGGACGAATACTACGCACTTATAAATATGAACGTCCATAAACATACTCCTCCGGATTTCGAAATACACACACATATCCGTCGTTACATTCAAATATCAACTGTATGACCAGATCTAGTTTGACTGATTTATTTGAGCGAGCTACATATGTATATATACATACATACATACTTTCTCACACATATATAGACATACACATATATACAGGCATAGACACAGTTGCACAGACACATAAATAGACGTATATATATATATATATATATACATATATACATACATACATTATATATATATATATGTAAATATCTACGTCTATATTTATAAATCCATAATTGTATATAAATTTATATATACAAATACGTTTATACATATAGAAAAATATACATATATGCAT